TGTTTATTATTTCGATAATTATTTGTTAAATCAAATCTTATCTTTTTTCCAGTAAGATTTCTTACTTCAATATTTTGCCATTTTTTAAAAGCTAAAATACATGGATTCTTAATTAATGCATCAACTATTTGAATTTTTGTTATTTCATCATATTCTATATTTTGCATTTGAACTTTTAATTCTAAAATATTAATTTTACCACGTTTTGCTTTAATATTTTTTGTATCTGCTGTAGCTTCAGTGTTTGTTTCTAGAATCAACGCATCATCATCAGTGTTTCTCGTAAAAATTATTTCAAATCTAGCATTGTAAAGAGGACTTTTTATATCTTTCATTGATCCTAAACCAAAGTGTGATAAAGGAATGATGAGCTCGACACTTCCTCCCCCTTGAGATGTAGATTCAAATCCTGAATTTTGTGTAGGACCATTTCCATCAACAGCATAACTCATATAACCTTTTACTGTACTTAATCTTCCAGTATTATCACTTTCATCTATAATTTTATTATTTAATTTAATTGTAATTTTTTGAAACAAAAATGCTCCACCATTATCAGATATCATAACATTAGATTTTGCTGGATATTTAGAACCATCTTCTTGTACATATTCAAATGATAAATAAAGTTTTGAATTTTTAATGTTCAGAAATTTATCTTTACCATCTACTATAACTATTGTATTTCGGTTTGGTTTATTCAATTCTGTTGTAATTTGAGGTATATAACTTTCATATTGACTATTTATTATATTATTATCATATTTATTTAAAATATTTTCCATTTCTTATTTATATTACCAAATATATATTTTTTTTTTTAATAAATGGATAAAGTAAAAGTAAAATTTTTTATTGAAGAAAAAAAAAAAAAAAATCTTTATTTGAATTACCTTCACGTGTTTTAATTATAGGACCATCTGGTTGTGGTAAAACCACCTTGTTGTATAATCTGATTATAAATTATTGGATTCCTTCTTTAAATCTATATATTTTTACAAAAAATATTGATCAACCAGTCTATAAAAAAATAAAAAAAATATTTGATGATATAGCTTCTATAACCACACATTTTTCTAATGATGAAATAATATCTGTAGATGATTGTGAACCAAATAGTTTAGTGATTTTTGATGATTTTCTAAAAGAAAAACAAGACATGATAATTGAATATTTTATAAGATTAAGATCAAAGAATATTAGTGTTATTTATTTAACACAAAGTTATACTTCAGTAGATATAAAAACAATAAGAAATAATTTGAATGTTTTAATTGTTTTTAATCAATCAAATTATTATATTGAAAAAATATGGTCCGATTTGATTAGTGAAGATGTAGCTTTAGAAAAATTTAAAGAAATTAATAGAACTTATTGTAAAAAATATGATAAAAAAATAAAATAAAAACATATGGTTTCATAACAATAGACTTGATAAAAAATTTAATCTATGACAATAAAGGTAATGAGATTTTATATATCGATGAATGATTATGTTTTAATTTAATTTTTTGTATAATAAATGGATATTAAACAAATTCAAAAAGAATTTAAAAAAAAAATTAAAAAAAATGTTTCGTTTGAAGATCAAACACAAAACAATTCCAAGGTAGGAAATAGTTTAAAAAACACATCAGATGTAAAGATTCAGACAATAATTAATACTAAAAATAAATTACAAAATAGGTTTAAAGATGTATTATTAAAACCTAATGAAAAAGAGACTGTTATTATAGAAAAAGATGATGAAGATGAAGATAATATTAAAAAAGAAAAAAAACAATATAAATCTACAGATGTAAATAAAATAATTAATCTTAAAAAAGATTTACAGGATAGATTTAGAAATACAATTGTAAAACAAAAACATGTACTTGAAGAACAACAAAAAAAGTTTGGACCAATAATAAACGCATTAACAAATGTTAATACAACAATGAATAAAGATGCTGTTATTAAAACTGAAGGAGATATTCAAAAATTAAATATACAACCTAGAAATCCAGAATTAAAACGATTAACAAGTTCAGAAGAGACTTTTGGAACTCCAAAATATTCTAGTCAAAATTCAACAAGTAATTCTCCATTACCTAAAAATATTATAAACTTAGGTCCTTTGCATCAAAATATTTAAAAACTGTAAAAGATACTAATTCTTTTGGAATATATCTTAATGAGAAAGATGATATTTATATGATTGGAAAAGATATAATCGATCTTGATAATGATGATATAATTTTAAATGAAAAAAGATATATAGGAACACCAGGTTTATGGAGATTATTAACTCATCAAGTTCCTACACCCAAACAATTTTATAATGATGATGAATTTAATATTTATAAAAATATATTATTTGAAACTAATTCTATATTTCAAAACAATGATCCTTCAACGAAAAGAGCTAAATCAAGTCGTAGTGAAAAATATAGGGTTATGATTAGTTCGATTTGGAAAGAAATGACAGAAACAACTGATAAGAAAAATATAATAAAAAGAAAGAAAATAATGAAGATAATGAAATTATTGAAAAAAAAGAAAATAATGAAATATTAGCTGAAGATAATCAAATAGGGGAGGGTTTAAAGAAATACACAGAAAATCGTATTGAATATCGTTATATTAGTAATGTAAACCAAGTGATAGATAATTTACAGTTTATTTCTTCAGAAGAAAGAGCTGGAAATAATAATTTTAAAAACGAAAAACTTGGTATTGTTCATTTATTTAAATCAATTATGGAAAATCTTATTGATACTCCTGAAGGTATTGAATATTTACTAAAATATGTAACTTGTTTACCAAAGAAAGTGAAAATATCAAAAGAAAAAATAATTAAACGTATACAGTATATATCAAGTGAAGAAAGTATAGGAAATAATATTTACTATGATGAAAAACTTGATATTCTTAATATTTGTATTAGAGAAATGGAAAAATTAATTGATATACCTATTAACGTTGCAGATTATTTATCATCATATGTTTCATGTTTACCAAAGAAAATTATTACAGGTTCAGGAATTGTTAATTATCTTTTGAATTGTTCAAATTTACCTGAAATGCATTGGCCTGGTTATAATTATTTAGGACCGGGAACAAAGTTAGAAAAAAATAAAAAACCTAAAAACAAATTAGATGAAGCTGCGAGAGAACATGATTATTTTTATAAAGATAATAAAGATACTAAAACAAGACATATTGCTGATAAAATTTTAGAACAAAAAGCAATGGAAAGATTTTATGATCCTCATAGTTCTATAGGTGAAAAAACTGCAGCCATTTTTACAGCAAATGTAATGATTGTAAAAAGACGATTTGGAATGAATTTAATTTAATTTAATTTAATATTTTGTATTATAAAATGAATCTAAAGTTAAATAAAAAACAATTTAATAAAATATTGAAAGCTAATAAAAATAATAAAGATGTATCAATTCTAATTGAAAATAATCAAATTGATAGTGGAAAACATAAATTTATTCTTGAGCCAGAACAAATAAGAAAATTAAAAAACGCTAAAAAAAATAATACCGGATCAAGTTTAGAACTTAAACATGTTCAAATTAAAAAAGGTGGATTTTTACCAATAGCTATTGCTGTGGTTGAAGGTGTAAGTGCTTTGGCTGCAGGTGCTAGTGCACTTTATACTGCAGTAACTGATGCTAAGCACAAAAAAAAAAATGGAACAAGAAACAATTCGACATAATAAAGAGATGGAAAAAATTAGATCACAAGGTTCTGGCTTGAAAAAAAAAAAAAAAAATATTGAAAAAAAAATTGAAAAAATGAATAAATTTGAAATAACAACATTTAGAAATAATATTGAAAAATTTGAAGGTATTTATACACGGTTTTGTATTAAAATAAATATGTTGTGATTGTAGACATTTAGAAACATAAGTTGGTTCTGATTGGTTCCCGATGATTAAAATTTTTCCTTTAATTGGAATTTCATTTAGATTATATTTTATTATTTTTTTATTATTTTCATAATATTCAAAAGCACAAAATTGCACCTAACATTTTTTTATTTTTTTATTTAATATATAGTTTTCTACTTCGTTTTGCATTTTGATTTCTTGTAACTTATTATAATTTTTTTTTCCATTCTTTTATTATAAATATCAATTCCTTTAACTAAGGTATTCAATTTCTTTAAAAATATTTTTTAATACACTATATTGCATTTCGATTTTAATTATTAATATCATAAGTATTATGAAAAATATTTTGGGGGTTTTTGTATTTAATAAGTTTTGCGAAAAATGTTTTTATTATTATTGCATTTCAATTTTCTGATCTTTTTGCACATTGTTTTCTTTGTGATCGTTTACTGATATATTATGAGGTGCGCCAGGAATGGTACATATATACTCATTACCGGTGTATTTGGTCATTTGCTCTCTTAGGTTTTGTTCGTTATCGAGCGTGCTTTTCTTTTTTTAATTTTTACTTCTTAATTTTATTTGTGGCTCTGACTGAACTTCAAGTAATTCATCAATAAAGTTAAAAATATTCGGATGTGGTCATGTGGACTGTAAATGCGTCGGTTTAATCTCGAATGATACGATTCACAACTATTGGTTGTACGCACGGTTGTAGCAGCGAATGCGGACCAAATATTAGGGGGAAATCGGTGATATAGTAAGATACCGTCATATAAGTATATATATAGTATATACGTACGAACAATCCTTACTTATCGGTACCTATCTTAATTGTGTTTAACCAAAGGTACGATGTTACAGAGTTATGGACTTTTATTGAATGTGAATGCTTTGGTGTTGTTAAGAGTGTATCGTTGGGGAAAAATATAATTATATAATTAATAATCATTATTTAAAAATCGTTTTTCCGGGACTCAACTTACCTACTACCTGTTTTTCCCCGGGACTCAATTTACCGAGTTAGGGTCATTTGGGACTCAATTTACCAATCCCGCCAAATACGTTCTTCTCCACCCAACAATTTCATTTTTTTCAGTCATAGCACTATTCCTAATCTTTTAAAAGATGAAATAAAATTGTGCGCGATACTGTTGGCAAACTGTCGTCGGCTGACACGGCTTGGTGGATTTTATCAATCGTAGGAATTTCACGGCGAAACCAGATGCTATGCACGTGCCTACGTACTGCGTTTTTTGAAAAATCGTCAAAAAGATCGCGAAATGATTTTTTCTTACGTGTTGTTTTTGCGACTGGCACCGTCTTTGTCTCATTGTAAGCCTTAATGATCGTGTGGATTGAACGTTTGCCAATAGACAATAGTTCTGAAATTTGTTTACGAATTTGCCTCATGGAAATGTTAGGTTCGTCCATTATTATACTTTTGTACCTTGATTCCTTATTAACCTGACATAACGCACAATTCTTTATATTTTTCTTAACGTTTTTTTTCATACCCTTCCATAAGAATTGTTTTTTAATGCGCTTAATGGTTTTATTCACACCTAAATGTTCGCCTAGTTTTGTAATTGTAATAAAATTATTGCTTTTTCTTCTGCATTATATTCTATATTTGCACATATAATTATTTCTATATTTGTTTTGCGAAGTATGTATCGCAACATTGACCTTATTTTTTCTCATTCTAAATCATCGTGATCGCCTAGCTTGCCCATGGCTAATTTATTGAGATTGTTTTCCTTACTAAATAGTTTTAAATTTATTAGTGATACATATATGCTTTCGTAAGTGGCCTTCTGTCGGTCCTTGTTTTTCGTTACTAAGAATGTTATAAACTGGTTTTCCTGTTTGAAATAGGGTGTGTCCCCTATTACTTTACTAGTCGGCAATTTGTACCGTTTCCGAATTGTTTTTTCAACTGATAATTTGTTCCTGTCCTAAAATTATATTACTCGGAAATTTCTGATACTATATTATATTCTTTTGGTGAATCTATTAGTGTACCTATAGTTTCTTTTACATTACTATTTGTGATAATTGTGTTCCTAACTTTTCGATATATTGTTTGTATGATTTGTTTTTTATTTCCTGAATTGAATATATGCGTGTGAGAGTATCTACATTTGAATTTAGAACTCCGGGTTTGTGACGTATTTGTAATTGATTTGTGTTAGCGGCGAATGAATTAAATGTTATATGGTTATTTTCTAAGGTTGAGAATATGTGAAATATTAGTGAGTCGGTTGTTCCGCGATAATCCGGTTTATCGTACAAGTACCACGCCTCTCGTTCGACACGTTTTCGTTTTCCGAATTATTAACGTCTCTACTCTCATCGTTTCTCTTTTTATAACATGAGTCGATATTATGACCGTTTCGATTACAGTATGAACACGTAACGACCTGTATATTATAATTCGTTGGTGGTTGCGTAAAATTATTCCTATTTGGTGGTCGGTTGTTATTGCCGTCGCTTGCATAACTAGGTCTCGAATTATTCCTACATTGAGATGCATAATGATTACCATTACAATTATAACATTTTATTGCTGGCCTATTGATTGGTTGAGAAAAATTGTTTGCTCGCGGATAATTATTTGTCCTTACAGGGTTATTTGGTCTAATGTTTTCGTTGTTCCTATTTTCGTAATTCGGTCTGCGCTGATTATAATTCTGTGAATAGTTATTCGAATAACTGTTCCTATGCATATGACTTTCCCTTTCCAAATCTAGTTTTACCTGTTCTGACTTCGATAGTTGTTTCGCGATCTCCAAAGTCTTGGGATTACGAGATTTTACTATTGTCCTAATCGGTTCTATTATTCCTTTAATAAATATCGCTAGAGTTTGTTCTCTTAATGTTTCATGTATAACTTTTGCTTCTGCAGCTTCTTTGGTTTACGTACTTACGGTACATAACTGATAATATAGTTTCTCTACTCTATGACAATATTAGCAAGAACACTGTAAGTTAAAAATCATTTATGAATTATTATTATGCGGGTCGGGACTATTGTAATACTTAGTACCTACAGCTAAAATGTATAATAATATATTACTATATTAATAAGACATTACAATATTATTTTAATGATAATTATTGATAACAACAATAAAATATGATAAGACAGTTGACACACGTTTAATTTTAAAGAAAATCTCAAAATAGATTACTAAAAACTGCAGTCAGTATTATTTTCTTAAACAGTAAATTATAAATTTACTTGTAGGTATGTATAAGTATAATTAAAAATTAAAGTACCAAGTATATCTGCTAAGAAAAAAAACTGATGATTAAATAAGAATTTTTATTTTATCTGGAACTAAAAAAGGAACTAGTTCTTTTTCCAAAGGAACGACAAAGGAACGAATTCTTTTTTTTTAAAAAGGAACGGGACGAATTCCTTTTTATAAGGAACTTGACAAACACTGACTTTATACTGCAATAACTGATGCTAAACACAAAAAAAAAATGGAACAAGAAACAATTCGACACAATAAAGAGATGGAAAAAATTAGATCACAAGGTTCTGGCTTGAAAAAAAAAAAAAAATATTGAAAAAATAAATACATTTGAAATAACAACATTTAGAAATAATATTGAAAAAATTGAAGGTATTTATACATGGTTTTGGATTAAAAAAAATAATGTAAAAATTGATCCATTGAGTAATATAGATATAAATTATTTTGGAAGTAAAATAAAAAATTATAGAGGGTGTTTTATGTTAAATGAATTACCTACAACACCATGGGAAAATGAATGTGGAGTATTTAATTTAAATGATTCTACTCAAAATGGTTCTCATTGGGTTGCATGGAAAAAAATAAACAATACATTTAAAGTATATTTTGACCCATTTGGTCATATAGTTGGTGAGCCACCAAAAGAACTTTTAAAATATTATGGTAAAGATAATCTTTTTTGTACTGTTTCCCAATTTCAATACTATAATGATCCACCTATATGTGGTCATTTATGTTTAGAATTTATTGAAAATTATAAAAAATTTATTTAAATATCATATTTTTTTAATAGAAATATTTCTATTAAAAATAACAACTCGTTTAATATATATTTAACAACGAGTTAACGAGTAAACGTGTCAACGAGTCAACGAGTCGTTAACGAGTCGTTGTTTTTTTACGTTTACGTTGTTTTTTTACGTTAACGTTGTTTTTTATGTTAATGTTGTTTTTTAACAACTTGTTGTTTTAATAATTCGATGTTAAAAAAAAATATCTTCTAATATAAATAATAGAAATGGAAAATATGAAAACACTTTTAAATATGATTGAACAACAATGTAAAATCCTACGACCTATATTTAATGATAGTGATATTGATAATGATTCTGAATTCAGTAATATGTTATGGAATCAAATATTGGATAATTGTTGTTACGAAAATGTTGCAAAATATGTTTATTACAAAAAACATAATCAATTAAAATCATTTAACTTCCATTTCATTAGTAATTGTTGTTTCGAAAATATTTTAAGTTTTATTAAAAACAAAAATTATAATGAAATTAAACTTTCACTAAACGAACTACATAAATTAATACAAGAGGAATTATATGATTCGAATAATAATATGGAGCTAGACTGATTATTTTTTAAACTTCGAAAATTTAAATCGAATATAATACTTACGAAGTATTATATATTTATAATTTAGATATTATAGTACCTATACAAACTATAGTTAACGTGACGTTGTTTTTTACGTTACGTTTGTTTTTTTACATCTTCGATTATTTTTATTTTATTAGCAATTTTTATTTCACAATTAATATTTACACATTCATATTCTTCATCTGTATCATTGTTATATGGCGTTTGGGCATATGGATGAAAATGCCAATCATGACAATATCAATTGATAACCATAATTTATCATGTTTATCTATGTAATTATAGAAAAACGTCTTGTGTATTTAATATGTTAATAATTCGGATATTGTATTTCAACTTATCATACCAAAACATTCCCATTGATCCCAAGTTGGAATATAATCACCACGAACTTGAGAATACAAAATAGGACATTTCCAGTTTTTTCGAAAATCAATAAATTCAGATATTGCACCTTGATTCCAATCATGACTGCAATAATACATTGCTCGTATCAGTATTATTTCTTCCATTTCTTCCGATGTAAAAGTATTTTCTTGATTATTGTACTTTATTTGTAATATTTTATTAAATTTATTGAATATTACACATGATTTTCGAAACGATTCCGCTTTATTTTGCTCATGTTTGTAAATTTTATGCTTGATTTCATATGGACCAAATTCGTTTTTTACATTATTAGCATCTATCGTTTTTTTTTATAGTTTTTTGCAAAGATAATTCATTAATTTGATTTTTATTTTCCATTACTATTATTTATTATAAAAAAATAAAAATTTTTAAACATCGAAAATTTAAATCGAATATAATACTTACGTATTAAGTAAGTAAGTAAGTACCTATACAGTGTGGTATAATAATAATAATAATAATAATATATATAATATATATATATCAACGTTGGACTGATTATTTTTAACATCCGGTATTGAATATCTTATCATAATATATATGTATAGTTTATATTATGATGTTTTTTTATCGAATTATTTAAATAGTGTTTAAATAATCATTATACATGCCCAAGTGTTGTAGCTCAGTGGTTAACACGTTGATTTAAATGTGTTCTTGGTCGGATTGAAACTAGTGGGAGAATGTGTGGCGCCCATATTCACCTACTAATTTCATCAGGCTTTCAAGACGTTTACGGTAAATTGTATAAGTGGGTGCACACACCTATGCAATCTACTGAAAAACTGTCGTTGATCTGCCGAATAAAGCACTTGGGTAACTTCACTGCCCACGATAGCTTTGCAGATATTTGTAAAAGAGTTCCGGCCTCCTTTTTCCTAACGGGTATCTGAAAAGCTGCTAATGATTTTGTAGATTTTTTGCATTTTTTTCCGTTTTTTCTATCAAAATTATTAAAAATAATACGGTCGTATATATCCTATATTTCATTTAATATTTGATATTATCAAGTCGGAACAACACAGATATGTTTTATATGCTTATCTACACTACATATTAAAAGTTTACCCCCCGCTTCATATTTTTCATTTAAGTATAACTCCGTTGCTATTTATGTTAGAATCTTCATTTTTACATTAAACATTTTTCATTTTAATTCTTTATAAGTCAACCTCTTAGTATCATAGTGTAAAATTGTTTTCAAAGATTTTTAGATTTTAATAACGCGTGTCCGAATGGGACACACGTTAAATATTGAACATTTTTTAATAGAACAATTCTATTAAAAAATTAAATTAATAATATAGTTATATTCTAAACATTTTGTGATCGGAATCTGTACCTCCCATGCGAAGACTACATATT